GACAGCGACTGACTGATGGAAAAGCAGCATGGAGTATTAGTAGCACAGAACTAAAAATAAGGATGTTCTGGATGTGCTGTGGTTTAGACTTTTGGAAAAGGGCAGCCACACAGATCACATCCAGGTCCCAGCTCTAGCAGCAGCAAACCATGAAGGACAGCTTTTCCTGGTAGTTCAAGGACGAAGCAGCTACATTGGTGGTTCATGACCCCAGCCAAGACTAGGAACTAAAGAGAAATACTGTAACAATAAGCCATACAGCTTCTGAAAAGTTGCAACTTCTAATTAACTGCAGGGACAACTGGCTGTGGGGGATCAGGCCTTTTATACATATGTAAAAGTTACAGTGAAAAACTGTATCTAATTCCTGGAGTGATCTGGCTGGATGATAAGGAAACTGGGTCTTTCTGTTGAGTTAGAGAGAGAAGCCAGTGAGTACCTTCAAGACGAGAAAAGGGATTACTAGGACCCTATGAGTTACAAAAAGAATGGAGAAAATATGCATTTATAAACAAGTTATTCTGGGTTGTCTCTGGAAGTGGGAATTACATGCACCTTTCAGTGACCTTCTTACAACACAGGGAAGATAAGGCAGGTGGTAAGAATGTTAGCAAACAGCATAGCACTGCAATTCATGTAAGTCATGATCCAGTAATAACTGGTGCATGGGATGACTACAGAAGTGTCGGGGAACTAAGACAAATTTGAAAACAGAAAATGTAAAATACAAGAGAGGCAACTGAATCATTACCCATACTCTCTTTTTCCTTCTGAATTTATATGTTAACTTCCAAATTTTACCACTGAAAGATCTATCACTAATAAGTTTGATATATTCTTGCCAATGAATTTTTCCATAAATCAGTTAATGACTTGTCTTAGCAGAAAGAAATTATTTATTTAAACCAGGCTTCCTATTTTGGTTACTGGTTGTGCTTTCATTCTTCCTGAAACATTTGAGGAACACATGCAAAATATAAATGACCTTTAAGGATTTGCAAAATTTGCGAAGACTTCAGTAATCTATTAATTCATTTGTGAAATTCACAAATATCACAGTTTAATATTCAGGTTTTAAAGCTTTTTGCCTAATCTATTCAGATAAGCAAGTGACTAATAGAAGTGACTACAGTCAGGTAACATATGAAATGTCACCACACACATTTGCTTCACAATGCTATTTCAAGCATAAGTATTCCTCCAGCACATATTCCACAATCCTTATTTTCCCACTAGTTCAGGAAAAACTTTGTAAGGTCTTGCTTGAGAACTCCACAGCATTACCAGAAAAGCAAACTTGGCGTATGCCTTCTGGTATTGTCCCGACTAAGATGCACAATCATAAAATCTGCCAGCTTTCCAGCCTGTTACTTTTCAGGCAGGCCTGTCCCTCTGGGACTTGCTCATTTTATACAACGTTGCTGCATTTACACAGATCCCTCCAGGCCTTAGATGAAATAGGAAGGCTAAGTACCTCTTTGCAATATTTAGTGACTGCCACTCCTAAAGGATGCTCGCTGCTGGCTTCTGCAGTGCCAACCACCGCCAGTACCTTCTTCAGAGAGAGCACAGCTGGGTCTCCCAGCAAAAGCACCCTCATGACTTTAGGAGCTCCGCAGGTGATGGTCCCAGTTTTATCAAACATCACAGTCTTGATCTGCAAGAAATAAACCAGAGTTACTGCCTAAGCCCTGCAAGCATAGGGATGCTCATAGGCTTTAGGCACATAAATACAGGCGAGACCTTAATAATCGGTTGCCTATATCCACACCAAGACAGAATAAACCTACAAGAGTAGGGATTCCTGTATGTACCTTGAACTATCTGTGCAGTAGGTCTCCTTATGCTTTCTTATTCATTCCCATACAGTGATTTCACTGAAGCTACAACATCATCCTGTATCTATATCAGGATCTCAGACAACAGAGCCATTGCAGGACTTTTACTGTCCTTTGTGTGTGTGTGTGTATGTATTCACATGCAGGATTCACGTAATGGCACCTTAATCACTTTTACCACAAGGTATATGATGCAAGGAGGGCTTTTATGAATGCTGTTCTAAACAATTAACAATAGCACTGAGGAAAGAGAACTCGGGAAGTTAATTTGGTGATAAGAGCAGGTGGGAAGAGTGCAAGAAGCTTCAACAAGTTCCAGAAACAACCACCTAACCAAACCCAACCTCATGCTATTCACCAAATTCATCAATCACTTGTTAGCCAGCCCAATGGGTCTTGAGGAATCGGAAATGAACCAAAAAACACAGCCCCACATACACTGAAACCCAAAGCTAAAGTCAATTCTAATCCTGAAAATAAACACGACACAGAGAAACACACGAACCAAAAAACTCAACAAAGTAGGCACTATTTCCATTCCCAGCTATTCCAACCCACCAAGCTTGCAGAATCCAACAGGTCACATAATTTTCCAAGCCCTGACCCTAGCCTCACTTAGATTCAAAAAGTAAAAAGACCTGACGCTAATTAGCAGTCATTTTTTGTTTTTTTGCAGAACCTTGGAAAAACTTCTGGTCTACGCTTTATAATGTCCACTAAGAACAAGAATTATCGGTCTGATTAATTTCTTCTTACCATCCTTTTCACTTAAAATGTTCTGCCTATGTCTAATCCAGTCTACCATAGCATGGTTTAAACTCATATTCTTTTCGCTGGACATGTCAAACCTCCTCCTCCTCCTGCAATCTCCTCCTCCTCTTTTCATCAGTTTTCTGTCTTTGAAGGGCTTTTTCTGCCTTCTTCCAACTTTTTTCTATACACTAAAAGAACATAAAATCATTCTGTTTTTCTCTTACATCCTACTTTTTAAACTACTGATCACGAACAATATGCATTTCACAATAGCCCTCTAGGGAAATTTTTTTTTATAGGATTATTTGGCTCTTTCGCAGAAGAGGTAAAGAGAGTGCAAAAGTCAGAAACCTCTGAGGTCATGCAGAAGATTAGCAGCCTCACTGGCATAAGATTGCAGGAACTGTTGGCTCTCAACACTTTGCTGCGACCACTTTGAAGAAAGAAGGTCAGATCTGTCTTCTTTACCTTAATGAGCAGCAACCAGCAGAAAAAAAAACAAGCAACATTCTACAGTCTTTCTCTGGACCAGCAGGATTTCCTGGGAAATTATATTTCACGTAGCAACAGCTGGGTAAGCTACAAAAGTACAGAATGAACTATTAACCTTGTGTGCCATTTCCAGGGGTTTTCCACCTTTGATGAGAATACCATTCTGCGCAGCAACTCCTGTGCCCACCATCACAGCTGTGGGGGTAGCCAAGCCTAAAGAACAGGGGCATGCAATGCTCAGCACAGTGATCGAGGTTTGAAATGCAAACCTCAGTATTAGTTCAGCTTTTGAAACGTGTTTGTTCTGATTCTGCAAGAAGAGGGAAGAGAGGGGGGGAAAAAAAAAGAGATGTATATGATTGTCGATAGAAGATAACATAGATGTACAATCAATAATAGGCATTTCAAAAAATACATTTACCTGGAAACCTCCAGTATAGGAAAGCAATCTATTATTGTTACTGTAATGGTAGAGAAAGGTCAATGTTATGAATTGTTTATGGCAGTATTTTCTGGCTTTTTTGCTGCTCAAGCACACATATGCTTGACTCTGCTCTCAGGCTCCTGCATGACAATATAGCTTGCTGGTATTTCCTTTATAGCTTAGCAAAGGAGAGCCCTATTTCCAGGTATACAGACCCCCACAGTTGATGAGCATAGCAAATACATATCCTAAAGATAACAGAAGCTCATCTTCTTTCTAAAGCCAAACCCACTATCTGCCATGAGTAACAAGGATGTCCAAAAAATATTTCAGGCAATCTAGGAATGGCTCAGCTCCTTGTAATGCAGCTATAGATCATGTTTAGTCCGGAAAGACTGCCAATAATTTCAGTTTGTAGGAACCCCATGCAGAACTAAGGGGTAAATGCAACAGTATATTTATACCTGCAGATAGATTTTAATTAGTGTAATTATCTGCTCTGTATAGAAAACACCACATTGTACAAAAGTATTTGCCAGGTTGCAACATCAAACCCTACACACAGAAGGTATGTTAATTACACTGGAAGATATCCTAACACCAAAATCCAGCTCTTAATGAAATTACTTACAGGAAAATATTTTTGAATAACATCAAAATTTATAAAACCAATTGTGATCCATACTATCAATGTCACTGTTGAAATGATGATGATAAATGGAACAAAATATCCACTAAACTTATCTGCCAGTTGCTGGATGGGTGCCTATAAAAAAGAAAAACATGTCTTTGTATGTTTATGATCAAAACACGTAACTATGAAGAGTTCATGAAAATATCTAATATTCTTCATCTGATTCTTGCTTGAAGTCTGGAAAACACACAGTTTGTTGAACAAGTGAATTTATAAAAATATAGAATCTTTTTCATATATAATCAAAATCTGTGAATAAATTTTTCTTTTCTATTATTTTTACCTTTGACATTTGAGCTTCTTCCACCAATTTCACGATTTGTGCCAGAGTGGTATCATTACCAACATGAGTTGCATTAACAAGAACTGAGCCATGTGCATTTATAGAACCAGCAATCACTGTGCTCCCAGGCTTTTTAGTGACTGGCATAGCTTCCCCTAGAAAGAAAAGGTAAGAATAAGTGAGGCAATACCCCTAATAATATTGAACATAGTTTATTAGCACATAGCTCGTTGTATGCTGGCAAAATCAGCATGCTAAGCAACACTGACAAGAAATCACATATTGTATATCTCTGTCTAGTGAAGGCATGTGTAAGTGCTGTCATACTTCCATAAACCTTTTTCTAGGTTTATTTTCAAAGCAAATGCTGTTTCCTTGGTCCTAACCCTCCAGTATGCCATCCCTCAAAAGGGCCAGGAGCAAATTGATTGTAAAAGGAACTAAGAATTTCTCCGCTTACTACTTTGCATAGCCATGGGAGTTTGAGTAATCTGTCTTTATTTCCACCACCCTCAGTTTTCAAAGACTAGAAAAGTTGTCTCTGTGGCAAAGGTCCTGTTCTCACGCTGCCTCTCTAAGAATACTAGCTCTACAAAATCTTTATTTTCTCTATTTTTAGGGTTAGTGATAATGACTGGTTCTCTTAAACTAAGGGTGTCCCTGTTCCCCAAGGAAAGTAAATACATAACTAAAACAAGTAAGCCAATGCCAATGTGAAGTTTTTATATCCTTTATTTATAAGAATTGCACGATGCCATAAATCCTTATTGCATTTATAAAATGAAATGAAAATTTCAGAAGCTGTGAAAAAGTCCCATGACCCTTAATGAGCATCAAGTCGTGAGGCTTTCTTTCCCTCTTCTTGCTCACTGGGATATCCCTGTCAGAAGCCCTGTTCAGTGCCCATGCATACACACCCCAACATCTCAGCAATATTTCCCCATCACCCTTTAGAAGTTATTTCTGAAAAGGTACCATCTCTACAAATACATTGCAGAGGAAACTCTCACTAGATCTTTGGAATAACGACAATAGTGTTTAGACTCTATCCATCCCATCAGTACGTTAGTAAAAGTGACCAAACTGAGTGGAAATTCTTCAGCTTTTTAAGGCGTGTGCAGATGCGGGGATTTGGATTTAAGCTCACAAAGGCCAGGCACATGGCCACCATCCGTTAAGGTGGGAGGTTATTCAGACAGCAGCTTTTGGGTTGGGTCTGCTCTCTTTTCTTGTAAGAAACTGTTCTAGAAGATTTCATTCCTTTGCATTAAGCGTAAGGGAAGTTACCAGTGATGAGAGACTCATCTGCCATAGAACTGCCTTCAATGACCTTTCCATCCACCGGGAACTTTCCACCAGGAACAACCTTTACAATATCACCCCTTTGAACCAGTTCAACAGCTACCTGCTCCTCCCTGCAAAAGACACAAGTAGAGCAGACAGATTATTTACACCATCAGATTCAAAAGAATAATAATGCTTTCACGTTAACTGCATCAAGCCTAGTCTGTGCACCCAGGCAGGCTGAAGGGGTTTTGGTTCATAAATATATACCTGACAATAGAGTGGTCAGGTCCGAGAGTCACTACAGTGGCTTCTGTGGCTTGAAGAGACATAAGTTTAGCAAGAGCTTCTGAGGTCTTACTCTAAGAAACAGAGATAAATGTTTAAGATATATTGAGATATAGGAATGCTGATGTCAACTTAGAATCATAGAATCATAGCATCATTTAGGTTGGAAAAGACCTTTAAGATCATCGAGTCCAACCATTAACCTAACACTGCCAAGTCCAACACTAAACCACGTCCCTAAGTGCCACATCTACATGCATTTTTTGTGGCTGACATTTAAAAAAAATAATCACACATAGTTGGTGGAAAGTTCATATTACAATCTGTTCCTTCTTTATTGCTGAAAATCTACATTTTCTTTTATGTGCAGAACTTACGGTTTAAATCTCAATTTCAAGCTACAGCTCTGATGAAAAATAGTGACATGAAAAATGTATGTAGATATCTGTTTCACCAAGTTTCCCTGAATACAGGCAGTACTAATCTGCCAGTTTTAAAACAATGAACTCTAAATGGCCTTATATATATAGGCTACATCAGAAACATCTGACTCAAAATTCCTCTCAATAGTTTTATTCTACTCTCATTATAAATACACAATAATTAGTGTGAAGATGAGTTACCTTTGCTATGTGTTCCAGCCATCTCCCAAGGGCAATGAACACAAACAGCATCGGAGGAGTGTCAAAGAAAGTGACAGGGCTTTTCTCTGCCTTTTCAATTATCGCTACCATCAGGATCACACACGAATACACATAAGCAATCGTTGTGGCCAGTACGATGAGCACATCCATATTGGCCGTTTTGTGCTTCAGTGATTTGTAAGCTTGTACGTAAAAATACCATCCACCAAGAAACTGTTGGTGTAAGCATGGACAGACTCATATTAAGATCACAGCAGTGAAAGCAGAGAGTTTGGCCGCCTGGGCACACTGCCGGCTCATGTTCAGAATACTGCCTATAGCAGAATTATAAACACGTAGTAGATAAGGGAAGGCATTGCTGTCCCATGCAAATTTTATATTGATACAACTTCAGTGGAGGGGTCTACCAGGAGGCTGACTCCATTGCCATCCTCTCACTTGCTCTTCCTTGTTCTCAAAACAACTCTGCCAGCTAAATATCATCCTTTTCCTTAGCAATGCAAAGTAAAAGACAGGCACAGGAGTTGAAGGGATTTACCTATAGCTATGCAATTAGTTTGCAGCTGATCAGGTATTTCTTCATTTTAACGCTACCTTCCCCACTTGGAAAAATACCTGATGCAGCTTTGGCAGGAGTAAGTGCTGTGAGCCATCACAGACTGGATAACTTGCAGAAAAGTGTCGCTTCATTCTGCGTAGGTGGTACAGACAAGAGGGCAGGGCTAATCCACTAAACCTTTCCAGTCTCCTGTCTTTATCACATCAGGTTACATAAATGGGAGATGAATAGAAAGCAAACCCCTAGAAAGTACTGTGGACATACCTGAACAAAAGTGCACAGGACAAAGAAGAGAAGATTTAAAATAGATAATCCAGGAATGAGATTCTGTTCCAGCACCATAGACCCATGGTGCTCACCGTCAGGTATTAGCATATAAATCATTAGGATTAAGACAGGGATACCAAACAGTAGGCTGCACAAGAAAGATTTCCTCCACCTGAAAAGTAGAAGCTGTAAATCCCTGGTTGTTGTACACCCCGCAGTACCCAGGCCAAACAGTGTGCTCGCAGTGCAGAGCTTGGGATATTAGTACTGTACTAACACACAGCTTCAGGATATTTGGGAAAGATCCAACACTTAGGGACAGTTTCAGTGTCTCCTACATGTTTAACTGTATAGACTTCTATCAGTTAAAAACTGAAACTAATTAAAGTAATAAAAATACTTGAACGAAATGGCAAATCATAAAATTAAATATTCTTTACACAAGGATAAGCTAAATTAACTGGGAAGGGGGGGGGAGGTGAGTTACAAGAGATGATCTATACATGTTCATTAGTGAGAGAGAAAGAGAAATACTTACTGCTGTATTTCCTTTTTATGATCCAGGTTATGTGCATTTGGAACTCTTCTAGCCACGGAAGCATGAAAGCCAATTTCCTTTTTATTGAAAGGGGAGGAAAGATGAGTTAGTTTTGATTAAACTAACCATATTACTTACAACATATTTAAATGACACTACTTTTAGAAGAAATGTCAGAAAAGGACACTGTTCCATATTTAATAAATGCCAACTTCTTATCTATTTTTAGATCCTGCCAACATGAGAGGATATTTCAGACAGTACTCAAAATGTGGACTGCAAAGGATTTCTGTTACCTACACATGGACACAGTGTATAGATGCAGTAACTGTTCCAGGTTTCTTAGGCACAGGAAGCTCCCACTGACAGCTGGAGTTCTGCTGCCCTCCTCCTCAAGGGAAATTTATGCCCTTTCATCTCCACTGGAATAAGTATGAGAGATGGGAAATACCACAATGTACAAGCCACTGGGCTAGTCAAGCTTGCAAGCATCTCCTTAACACTGCAGTTGAGTAGATACACCTGACATTGAAAATCAAAGTGGCTAGAATCAGTTTAAACCTGCAAAACAACAAACTGCAGGGCAAAGCATCCCAGAAACAAATATATGCAAAAAGCCAGTTTTGACTGATGCTTCAGTGAGCTGCTGCAGTAGAACCATCCCCACACACAAAAAACCACAAAAAAACCACAGCACACTTGCAAGCACAATACCTTTAAACTTCGTATCTGCACCATGAGATGCTCCTGTGGCAAGATGCACTTTACAGAACTACTCCTCCAGCCTGAAGAGTCTACTAGTTAACATGTTAATCACTGCTGCCACATCAATTCTGCGGTCTAGGAGCTTTTTTCTGAGTAAATACTCTACAACACAAAAGGCAAACAGTCTCTGCTGTCCTCCTGACTACTCACTGCATGCGCCTCATACAGTAAGTTCTCCTTCCTTCTGGTGGGGCAGAGAAGGAAAAAGTTTTGTCCATACCTGGGCCATGATAACAGCAGATTTTATGATCTGTGTGGTTACTGGTAAGCCAGGATTTTTTCCTTTAGTATCACAAGCTCTTTCAGTTTAAAAAGTTCTCTGAATTGATGTGGGAATAAATGCCAGTGTATACAGAGATGTGTAATATTTGTGGTATGAGCTGTTGCAAAACTGTTGTGAAACTTCTTTTACAGCATCTTTCACTGGCAAGAGAAAGTAGTATTTTTTTCTGAAGTATCAACACTTCACTGAAATGACTGGAAATCAGAGACACATGATTCTACACACAGAACTGCAAAGAATGAATATATGACATTTTTACCAGATATAGATAAAAAAGGCTTCTTTGTGTAGTTTTTAGGGTGTGTTTTTACAGTAACAACCTGGGAGACTATGCACTACTAAGGAGCACAGCAGGTTCACCACAAGAGCATAAAAACTATGGCAATTACCATGTCATCTGCAAAAGTCAGTGAAACCTCTCAAATAACAGCTGCTTTATTTCCTTTTTAACTTCACTTTATAATTGTTCATATCTAAAAAATTTCTAAAGCCTACCTCAATTATTTTTATAATATCTCGAGGCCCAGTAATTTCAGGATCAAACTGGATGTGAGCTTTGCAAGTAGCAAGTGCAACTGAGGCGTAGAATATGCCATTTGTTCTCAGGAGTTTGGATTCAATATTGTGAACACAAGAAGCACAAGTCATCCCTGTAATCTAAAGAAAAGACAAATTTAGGTACAGTTGGCAGTCCCCCACATTCACCCAATATTTGTAGATGAATTTGAGACAAGGCCTCCCCATGTCGCAAAGGTACTAATGACTATTCAAGCTCTGCTGGTACCGACCCAAGGCATCAGCATGAAAACTTTATGGAGCTGTCTTAAATGAAACAAAGCTGAGAACATAACTGTCCACTTTTATTATAAAATTCTGCAACCAGCAGTTATAGTCACAGCTATATATTTGTATAGCAGCACTCGTACATTGTATTAACTGTAACAGTATAGCTAATATCAGCAGCTATATTAACATTGCCAAAGTCAAACTCTGCATGTGTAACTTCATCTTGCTTACTTAAATTTTCCTGTGGCTTCAATAAGGCACGTTCCCACTTTCTGATCTATTAGCACAACTGCAGACTGTTGTTATCTGTCTTCTAGTAGGTATATGTTAGAGAATAAAACCAGACTTTTGAAGAATCTGTCCTTCATATAAACAATTTCCTAATTTTACCCAAAGTTCTCAGATCTCTATGCAAAGCCCCAGGCATTATCAATACGTATTTGATGATACATTCTCAGTTGCTCAGAGTCTGTACTGTTGACTGAAGTGCCTTCCCAGAAAAGTTCTGGTTCATTTCTCCTTGCTAAGAAAAGTCTGTTCTGTACATACAACTATGGTCACTTTTATTTCAGCGCCTTTGGATATGTTCTTCTAAGACAAATTGATTTTGTCTTTTCAGCAATTAAGAAAAAATAGTGTCACCAGCCAGAACTAACCTGCTGAAGCCACAACTCCTTAAACAAAAGCATTTGCAAGAAAATGATTCTTCCAGACCTGACTTTTCCAAAACCAACATACAATTTCAAATACACATGACTTACAAGAAGCTCCACATTTCCTTCTGATTCTGCATGATCTTCTATGATGGTAGCTTCAAAGCCCAAATTCTGGATCAGCTGTGCTATTTCAAGAGGCTGTATGAATTCTGGCTTGTATTTTATCTCTGCTTTACCTGCCATCAGTGCTACCAACACTGAAACAATTCCTGCAGTGGCAATAATAAAAGTATTAGATAATGTAGCTCCTTTGAGGGGAAGAAAAATAAAATATTACACATGATTGTCAATAAGGGCTGTAACAACTTAGAGATGTTATAAGCCTAACGATTTCTCTCTGCCTCCTTCTAGTGTTGTTCCCTAGTCACAACACAACAGCAAAGTTTTTACTGAGATCCAGCCACACTGCAGTTCCCTTTAGCAATGACAGGAACCTCAAGAGTTATACAGAGAAGGAGGTGAGTTTTGCTACGATCTAATGAGACAAAAAAGAATGTTCAGAAGCAATCTTTGCATTCATTGCTGCAAGCTCTACCCTGGACTCTCTAAGTTTGGAAAGCCCTAAACAAACCCCACAGCACAATGCTAAGCCTTTTTCATTTCTTGTTTTTCCCTTTGGGTTTTTTTTTTTCTTCTTTTTTAAATAAATAAAACCACAGAAATCTACATTTAGAATTGAAAAGCAAAACGTAAAAATCACAGGCAAAAAAATTGTTCTGAAGTGCTAATGGTTTCTTGGATTTTTAAATCAAGGCAGTGAGACCATCACTGGGAGACTGGGGGCACAGGAATCAGTAAGCAAAACCCCCCACAGGCATGCCTACACAAATTAAAGCAGACAATGCAGAGGATCATCTGTTCATCTTCTATATGGCCAGAGGAAAGGCAGCTCCAGTCTGCAGACTTCTAACCTGATAAGCTTTGCTGTGCCTAAGCTAATATAATTACCCAGGCACTGGAGCCACGTATTTGTTTGTACCTGCTTGTGAAAATGTGCCCTGAAGGGTAAGTTTCATATCACAAATGTGTCAGAGCTCTCAACAGCTCTGGAAGAGATGGATTGCCCTGTAAAACAAGAAGGCCCTGAAAACTAAATGAGAACTATTTCTCTGTTCTTGTCTTGAGCCTTATTTGAAATTTTGATCACATTACAACAATTTACTGTTACAATACAAGTATGTCCATCGGGTTTGTCCACCAGTGCAGTAGGATAGTTAAACAGTGATGTAGTTACATTAGCACTAAGAAAGAGTATTAAGTCTATTTAACCTCAGGATGTTGTACCACAGCCTCTCCCATTAACCACATAGAATACCTTTTCCAACCCATAGTCCTTTATAGACTTATTATAGGAATTTTAAATTCATTACCATCTTCTTTCTGCAAATTTCTTTCAATGGTAGACACACATGATGCACAGGTCATGCCTGTGATTTGTAAAAAACACTTTTCAGCTGTCGCTCCGCTGGGCTGGTTTGGCCCATCAAGGTGAGGACTGTCTGGAAGAGCATCTGAGGCACAGCCTTGGCGAGGAGGCTCTGGAGCTCGAGGTTGCACAGCAGCATTACTGGCGTCAGGCTGGTGCCTACTTTCTTCAGCGGCAGTATCTTGAATAAATGCACAATAAACTGAACACACACTATCTACAGTGCGATCGGATGATGTAAAACTCTAAGCAGGTCACATTTATCAATCATGCAAAATCTCTTAGTTGTTTGAAAGGTGACATGGTAATCTTGGTCTCTTCATGGAAATAATGTAGATTGTTACTATGTGTATAACAATACACGCTCACCAGTATCACTTGCATGACCATATAACTCTACAGAACTGGTTTTCCACTTTCAGATGGCAAATGATTCTCTCTAATTTCAATGCCTAGACCTGACAGCTACCTCCATTCAGTAAAGATATATTGGTATCTAGAGGGTCCTTATCCAGCACAGAGAACGCAGTCCAGCCTCACATCCATTCTGTCCTTGTTGTCATCTATGCAGGACTCATAGCATTTCATCTCAAACAAGGAAAAGGACAAGTTTCTCAACAGGTTTCTCTTTATGGCACAATATTTACACTGCAAGTACTGCAAAATGAGTAGTGGAAGGATTTGCAGCACCCAGAAGACCTCCACACATACAGGCCTGTTGCAATCATTTTTGTTCTTTACCAGATACTGAACAGACACCCAACAGCTCCAGCTGCGTTCACAAACTGCCTCCCTTGGGCAGGGGTCTGTGTAAAGGAACAAGAGTTGCTTCTGAACATGTTAAACACAGGGGGTCCCCTCCTTTTCCACAGATGGATCGGGAGGTCTCCCACCAAAAAATTATAAACCAAACAAATCATAATTAAACACCACATACGGGCTCCTCCTCATCTATAGCAGTTCCACAGGTTCAGAGGGATTGGACCCATGAGAAAAACTAATAGGATGTGGTCTGTTGGGATCAAACTAATTCATTCTAGGTAAACTACATCAGTATCTCAAAGCAAATCTGTTGAGTTGAAGCAGACAAATATTGCCGCATTTGAAATTCACTAGAGAGGAGATTGTACACCATAGCCACTTCTTAAACATTGAGCATATGTACAAAATGTACAAACTGTGCTGCAGCTGACATGTAAAAGCACCTGCTCCCACCAAAGAGTACCTGCATCTTGCCACTTACCTCGCTTAAAGTAAGGCTTAGTGAAGTAGGGCTAGTAAAAATACTCAAGAAATAAAGGTCAAAGGATTAAGACACTAAAAAGATATTTTAGCTAAGTAAAAACTGGTTTTAAATGAAAGAGATTTCATTAAGTTTGTGGGTTTTAGTATTTTGGAACATAAATGAAAACATTTGGTTTGGTAGGTCTACTTACAGCAGCCTGTAGAGATAGGAGGAAACCTACTTCAGTGGGTAAGGGGATCAGCTATTTGAAAGACCTTGTACCAACTTCCAAACCCTTTGGCTTCATAATGTAACTCAACTCTGCCACCCACTAGTGCAGTTATTAAGGGCTGAAATAAGGTGCTTCACAGCTGAAATCTCTCTCCCTTGCTAAGCGAGGTCAGATCAGGCCAGTCCCTTAGAAAAGACAATGCCAACGTGATGTTCTAAGAGTTTCTCTCCAGAAGAGAGTCTTAACGCATGGCCCAGCTTGGCATGCTACCCACAGAAGAAAAAACAGTTACCTGTCAGCACAGAAGCATCAAACCCCATGTCTTCTATGGCAGCTCTTAACTCTTCTCCATTAGTGACAGCTGGATCATAATGTATGCTCCCAGTTCTGTCAGCTAGAGAAACTGCTATACATTGCACTCCTTGTCTCTGTGATATGGTCCCTTCTATGGACTGTACACAGGAATTGCAGGTCATGCCATCAATCCTAATAACAGCTGTGCATGTCGTGTCTTGCAGCGGCTCTCTGAAGAGATCACACAGCAAAGCAGGTGATGGAGATGCTCCCTTATCAACTTCCGAACCATTAAGGAGACATACTTTAAAGTTTCCAGGTGGAAGGGATTCAATAGCTTGCTGCAAAGCTGACAGGGTAATTAAATTTGGGCTATACTGTACCACAGCACGTTTATGCTCCAAAGACACTTTAATACTTTGTATGCCGGGAAGATCTGATATATTTCCTTCAATGTTTCTGACACAGGATTTGCAGTGCATGCCTTCTATCCGTACAGCCACCGTAGCTGTGCCACTCATCTTGGAGACCGGTGGATCCATCCCATCGCTCTCGAGACTTGCTGCTGTCTCATTGGGGTTTGCATTCTGCAGGCGCCTGAGATCAAGGACACCAAGCTTCAAAGGGGCTGACTTACTTTTAATGGTGCATTCATACCCCAAGTTACTGATATGGCTCTTGAGGTCATCAGGCTGAATGATGTAAGGATAGTAAGCAATAATTGCTTCCTGGTTACCAAGTGACACCTTGATTTTTGCCACACCGTGCAGTTTCCTAATCTTTCCTTCAATGTTGGTGACACAGGACTGGCATGTCATGCCTTCTACCTGAAGCTTAACTACTGCTTCTCTCAAGCACGACAAATTTACGGTTGCTGTTGTCAGCCTCTCTTCCGCTATGTTGGCATCAAAGCCCATATCCTGAATTTCCTGGCAAATCTGTTCAGGACTTATTTCTGACTGCAGATACTTTATTACAGCGTTGTTCCGTTCAAGGGAGACTTTAATACTCACAATGCCCTTCACCTTGGAAATTCGGCCTTCTATCGACTGCACACAAGATTGGCAAGTCATTCCCACAACATTGACTGCCACAGTGTGTTCTTGGGAAGATGGAGAGGGCGCAGTTTCAAAGCTCTCCTCATAGCCCATGTTGTCAAAAGCAAAATTGTGTTTCATTGTAGGCTCCAGCTCACAGCCACGAGGAGAATCAGTGTTGGACAAAGCCTAAAGAGCAAGAGGAAAAGTAAAAATAAAATGCATGTATCTTTAGCACTGTAAAACCAGCAATATTCTGCATGTACTCTCAAGCACATATGAGAAGTGCTCTCAAGTCAGACTATACTGCCAAAACGCTTCACAATGTTAACTTACACTTTAAATATATTACCATTTAGCTATGCCCACAATGATGAATCAGGCCTCTGACACTTCTCTTGAGCAGCAATTTAAAAAATATTCACTAGGGATATAAAAGCAAACTTGTCTCAATATTTCCAATCAAATAATTTAAAACTTGAGCTCTCTGCAGCCACGGGGCACTTTCACCATGCAGCCCGAACCCTGCTCTTCAGAGCACACTGTCGCCTGCACAAAGGGTCACAGCAGAGTGTGCTGAATGTCTCTCCACAAATGTCAGAAGCTGGCTCAGTTTGTCCAACCTGCTATTGCTCAGCAGGAGTTCAAACCAAAGCAAACCAAATCAAAACATCCACAGAAAACAAAATCAAGAATTTCCCGAGAGCCTGAAACCATCTGGCGCAGAGGGAACCAGTTGCATGACATCTGAAGATCTGTATGCGTGCGTACAAGGGCCTGGGCTGTCTGCATATATACCGACCTTTATGTTAAAATCTGTATTTGACAAAGATTTTAAAAGACACAGACCTATATGCAGATACTTCCACTATGGTTTAGTTTCATCTGCCTTTTTGTGAGGCACCTAAGAAAGACCATATATTGAGCTGCAAGAACTCACTGGTTTGATCCAACATCATTTTTTAGGATGTAATGGCCAGTATTGAAGTGGCCAGAAGTGGACTATCCGTCAGCCAGATCATGGGTTCCACAGTACTGGGACTCTACCGTTTAGTGCACTCAACTCAATTGAAAATGAAATATTTAAAAAAAAAAATGATAAAGGCAATGCTTCTCGCAGAACAGGTAATCAGAGCACAGACTAACATCAAAGGAAATTGCTGGTGCCAAGTAATAAGGAAGATGATTGAGAAGGTGAGGGACAAGTCTCATATTGTCAGGTTTCATGGAAAGAACATCAAAATTCATGTCTGGGACTTAAGGCAGCTTTAATTACTAAATATCTAGATGCAAGCGACTGCAACGAATCTATTCACTTGCCTGCGAAGCCGTGGGCTCTCCACCGTTCAATAAAGCACCTACTGCAGGAAGGGGGTCACTGGATCAGGCTCAGTACCACAAATCTTGTTCCTACCACTGAGAAGAAAACTCCCTCCTTGGTACCGCAGCATGGATGAGAAGCATTTAGGCCGCTTATTAACACTAGACTGCATCCAGTTCATTTGATGCAGTATTCAAAATTCATTAACTTGATTTTGTTTCATGCTTAGATAGCTTGGGAATAATGAGGTCTGGGGTCACAACCAAAACAGCAAAAATTTAACATGAGAAATTTGCTTTCAGCTTTCTCCGTACTGTATTTATCAGAACAGTATGAATAAGCAACAACTCTTCAGCATTACAGTGCAGACCCTTGCTATCCCAACCGCGAGCTCTCCCCCCCATGCCCCTCCCTCTCTGCTTGGCCTCAAGGCTATGCTCCAGGGATGCTGGGGAAGAAGAGTCACGGGAATATTTTAGCCCCGACATCCCCTTTTACCTCTCCCTCCCACAGGCCTGGCAGCATCCAGGGCACGTACCCCTCTCCTTACACTTTCCTTCCCAGAAGTTACTGAAATCCCCAACTTATGTGGAAATGCACAGCCAGCCCCTTCTTTCAAAACAAAATATAAAGAGTTAATCGGACCTCCCTGCAGAGGTGGTTCCCTGTTTAAGTGCACACAAAGACAACTGCACGCTTATTTCCTCCTGTTTGTGCTCTCCCACCCTTTAAAATAATAATATTACCTCATATATGGAAAAGAAGCCAGTCTGCAAACGAAAACAGACTCTCACCCACCGCATTTCAAATGCTGCTGAAACTCAAACTTGCATTTATTGTAATGCCTACCTCAAGAAATGTTATTTGAATATTGTCCCTTGTCTCCTCTTCCATATCTCCTGTCCACAGCCCCACAAGGACACTTTGCTCGCAGTGGCCAGCTCTTCTTATCACAAATACCCGGTAAAGCGAAAATCCACGTGCGAGTTACAAGAGCTCACCCTGTACGTTTACTTTGGCTCATACGACAAAGGCATTTATTTGCCTTCTGCATCCTTTGGCGAAACAGCATGAGAGACGGGCAAGACAAACATCCTCCGCTCTCTTGCTCCCCTTCACTGCGTTTCTGGCAGCCACTTGCAGATGAAAACCAGAAACCACCATAGGCCTTATGTCCTCCACTGCATTCCCTCCACCCCCATGCTTACCAACCACCTCAGTTTTCCTAGGTACCCAGTGATATAAAAGCAATTCAAATGAAACGTATAAAAAGATTAAAGGGTGTTTCTCATCCTCCAGTCTTTTGAAAAACATAAAAGCAAGGACTGATTCTACTATTTCAATGCACTGTAAACTACAGCAAAATAAAAACTTGGCCCCCACTTTATATTTTGGAAAAAATGCCATCCCAACATTCAGAAGAATTGGCAAAAATATTTTGTTTGTTATTTGACTAAACCAGATGTTTATGCTCTGTGGGAGAAAAATCCTTGCACATGAATTTTTAAATGACAAGGAAAAAATTATAGAGGGTATGTGGATATAAAAAAAAATAAAAGGTTTATTTCCCTTGGAAAAAAAAAAACGACAAAAAACCCCACAAATGCCAAATCATTGAAGAATCTCCCCTCAAAACCCAGAAATGTGCACAGGTTCAAACACAGTATTTACAAAGCCTTTAGTATTGTTTAACAGCTTCAAAAAAAAAAAAAAAGGGGGCACAAATACATCTATGTGTGTATTTGCGAGAAGGGGTGTTTCTACACTAGATGAGAGGAAAACAGCAGGTTCACGTAAGGACACAAACAGGAGGCATGCAGAAATGTGCCCGTAGTTTTCCCCAGGCACACGCTAGGTCTCAGAAGAGGGTTTCCTGATACCGGCTAACACCCACACATAAAATGGCATCTATGAGGCTGTGTAGTAATTCAGAGACACCATCTGCAAGAGGATCAGAGAAGTAGTCACCTCCAAAAATGCCAGAAAAGGTGGCTGGGATTCCCAGGTGTTGCCCCTCCTGCTTGCTTCTGCCTAGACAGAAATCCCAATGAAACAATGAAAAGGCATCTGACTCTCTATCCATACAGGAGTGTGAAAGAACCGGCTGCAGTTACTATTTTGTCTCTCACACCAAAGGAGACGTGCTTACTTTTAAGGGCAGGTGTACACCAAGTCTGTTTTCTTTACCAGTCTCACACATATTTTTACAGTGACTATGCAAAAAATATGCAAATAATGAAAACATGAAATTATTACAATTATTTCCCTCCCTTGTTCTGCACATAAAAGTTGCAACTCAAAATGCACAGCAGAACGAGGCTCTAGTCTGAAGGCTAAGAATCCCTACAGAAAGCAGTGTTATGAAGCTCATTTAAACAATATAGGGGGGAAAAAAAAAAAAAAAGAAGAAAATTAAGAAGAGACCCATTGACACAGAAGCAGCAGTAGCTGGGAAGCTTTAAAGGAAGCACCAGAGCTGGATGGAAAACAATCTTGTCTACAGGAGACAGCTCTGAACCAGACCCAAGACGAGTAGCAACTGAAATTGTTGATATGCATGAGCGTGGGATCTGAAGCCCAAGCTCCCAGTATGAGGATTTCAGAGCAAACCCACCAGCATTAAGAACAACCCTTGCTGCCCCAGACAGGAGCTGGAGCACTCATGCCTGCCCTGGGGCAAAGCAGGGCTTGGCAACAGCAGGAAGAGGCAGAGGCTCCTGCTCCCCATCCTGACTGCCTCCAGCCAGCAGGAAGGAAATAATCCAAAAGGAATATGCCCCGGGGCTGGACTGACTTTTTGGGAAAGCATGGAGGTGGAGCAGGGCAAGGAGACACTGCTGGATTAGGAGCACCAAGTCTTGAGCCCTGGCTTGGCATGCAGCTCTTGGCTTTACAGCATCCAGAGCTCAGCGGCTGTTCCGGGGGGAAAGGTGGTTGTTGTCCATGGCCTGTGTGACTGGTGGGGTAAAACTGCTCCATCAAGGGCTGCCCTCAGAGGCCTGGCATCAGGCTGCCCCACTGTCCCCCAAAATGGGCTATTTCTTCAGAAGTGCAAAGGCCAAGGGTTTAACACAGCAGCAAGGGAATACAGAATAAATGTAAGAAAATCAAATGAACTGGGAAAAAAACAACCCAAAGAACAAGAAACCACAGCACTGGGTGAGACCCTCCCGTACCGCACATGGTGACTGGCGTCCTGACAACGGATGCGACCCCATGGCTGTAAATTCAACAAGGTTTGTGCCCTCCTTAGCTTTGCGCCCTGGCCACTAGCCGCCCCTGGGCTGGGTCCCCATGCTCCCTCCACCCCTGTGCTCCATGGTCACCTCATGGAGTGGCTTGTCACCGGGAAAGCCATGCCACACATCCCCACCTCCCCTTCCCAAGAGGTGCAGCCACCACCGAAACGCCAGTGTAAAGCTCTTGGCCTCTGCAGCACGAGGCCGGGCCGGGAGCACCCCACAGCTCACCAAGCATCACCCACACCAAGATCCCACACAGCCGCTGCTCCTCTCTGGCGCTCCAGCAGGGCTCTCCCCTCAGGGCTGGCACTGTCCTCCCACCCTCTTTCACCTGGCCTGCAGGGATGCTAATTTTCACATCCCGAAATTCAAGCGCCGGACTCCTCACCTCGATGATGCCAGGCAGTCAGCCGGCAAGGAAACGGGGCCGAGCCCATTCAGCGCCTTCCCCTCTGCCTCTCCCCATCTGCTCACGCACGAATGCCAGATCTCACTGAACCTCACGCCCAGTATCTCCAGAGGTTTTGGGCTGCTCTTATCCCTGTACCTCCACAGGTTGAAACCAGCTATCGCCCTCTCAC